AGGATCAATTTTTTATACATTTTTTGGGGGGGTCGACCTCCCCCCCCCCTGGGATTGTTTGGGACGGCTAATGGGGAACTCTCAATTATCCCTCGGCCACTTTACCTTGCTCACATGACATCACCTGTATTCGAAGGAGAAGACGCAATTCACTAATAGGCACTGCACCAATTGCTGGCGTGGAGGTTCCTTGGAGTGTTATCGTGCGCTTCAGGCTACCGGGGCCAACAATAAAAAGACTGGACAGACTGGACAGTGTTTTTACAAGGACGCGAAGCCGCAGCCCATGGCGGACGCCCGGCAATCAAGGCGAAATGGTACTTAATTGCTGAAACCCTCTGGCTTTTCTTGGCTATGCCAACAGACACCATGTGGCAGGTCTAAGGTTTGGAATGCAGTGGTGGAATGTTTAGAAGTCTTTCTAAATCAAGCTCCTTGGCTATGTCATTACTGTACTTTTTACTTCGATCGTTTGTGTCACTAGTCACTTATGATGCAAGTCATTTGACCGGAAGGCTCTTTACAACCAGAGCCAGAAGTGCCACAGCACGTGCTGCAGCTGCAATACCACGTGTCCTTTTCATGCAAAATACACACAAATGCATCTTACAATCCAAGGTAGGATGGTAGGCTGAGTTAGTTGATACTCAATTCCCATAGTGTGAAAGATATGCCTCAGCAAGATTTCTGGAATGCTTTGAGTAAATAGGGAGTATATAAAGGGTAATAAGGGATAGCCTGCGGCTTGGCAATGTCCTTTGCGAGCAAGTCAAAACCCATTCCGGGATGTTTGGCATTTGCCTCTCGACATTTGCTTAGGAAAAGACAGAAAGCTCCTGGCAGCTTGCTACCCCAAAGGAGGACACAGAAAGCTCCTGGAAGTGTGTTGTCCCAAAGGAGGAGTCAGAGACCCCTTGGAATGATGAGCAGCCGGTTGTACCACCAGAGAAGACCGAGCAAGCCTGGGAGGATGGAGGCCTGAAATTTGTGTTTGCATTTGCAGGTATTAGAGCTGTAGTTCTTTTTGCCTGCTAGACAGCCCTAATTAATAGCTGAATTAATAGCTGAAATTGTTGCACATGCGCCCCAGTAGGGGCTGAGTTTGGCAGGATGGTCTGAGAAGGGCGAAAGCTGGGACTGGAAAGATTGGAAGAAAGGCTGGGTTGGTTGAACATATTTGTCGTTCATACATGCAGATATATTTGATATGTGATGGTGTTTCAATTTGTTTGGCCCAGGTTGCTGGTGATCTAGTGAAATCTGTGGAAAGATACTTGAGTGCTGAGCTTTTTCAGGGTTGGATGGCGATTGGTCTCAAGACTGGTGGTCAAAGGAGCGCATCATGGACGCAGTTATGTACAATGATAAGCCTTGAACTCTTGACTTCACAATGGCGCATCTCATGATACCTCATGTTGTTGTTTTCCTTGCTGTTTTTTTGGTCAGCTTTCTACTCTTTGCCAGAGCGGTTCCACATGCTTCTGCGCATCGGCCTTTTTATCGGAGGACGCCAACAAGGACTCCAACAAGTCTTGGAAGCAGAAGCGCTCAGACAACAACCCTGCTGTATTGTACCCTCAGGCAATATAATTTTTGCTGCTGCATTTGCAATCACTCTCCCGTTACTTTAGGGGGCCTTCTTTCGAGCACGCCCGTGAAAGAAGCAGCGCCAAAAGCGTGCACGAGCATGCTGTGCCGATGCGCAGTTTGTTGCCTGTTTGTGCTGGTGCTTACAGTATGCCGTTTGGGCAGGCCTACATCTCAGATATCCCGGTCGAGTTTGCCGCTGGGATTCGAGTTTTGTGGCGTGATTATCTCCAGTGAACTCATCACCACAATGCAGTCTGACTGCCTAGATCTGCCTGGGCCTAGCACTAGGAGAAATCCAAATGGCTCTCACGCGATGCAAGGGTGAAAACTGAGAAATCAAATCTTGGAAGATTGCAGGATGATTCTTAAAATGTTGTTTGCCATTGTTGGCCCATACATGAATTGCTGAAAAATGATGTTGATGTTGCCCACGGTTCCGGCTCAGGATGAGGAGAAAGTCAAAAGGATGCACAGAGAATGCGGCGTTGCGGATGAGGATATGCCTATCTCAATCAAATTCTTGCCATCCAAGGAGTGAAGGGAAACTACGGCGCGCAGTATTGGCGTTTGCAAGGCTACATTTGACCGACTTTCATCACCTGATGTTTACTCACGCTAACAACAGGCCTTTGAAGTCCTTGGAATCTCTATTCGCTGGTGCTGATACAGTATCCCTACTCTAAGCTACTGTAACTGTAAGTTTGGTTGTGGGTTTTGTCACTTTCAGTTGCCCTGTGTTTCTTTGTTTGCAGACTCGTTTGATGCGGGTCATCGTCAATCAACCAGCCCTGAAACTAGAGGCCGCCCGTCCATTTTGGACTTTTAGTCTAGCTGCTGCTTTCAGAGTTAAACATTAAACATGTCTCATGGGTTGATTGCTGAATGCTAGCAGGACGCTACAGGGGAAACCTGTTCTTGCATTGTGCGCTACAACAGGGAGGACACCTTGGAGCACGTTCTTCACAAGATGCTCGCCATAGGATGCTGATGGGCTTGGACATGCTGCTTTACTCCTTTACAGGTTGTTGCTTTTGCCATTGCATCAATCAATGATTGATTCAGACTTGTGGAAATTCTTGTGCTCACTGGGCCATCGAAAGTGCTGCCTTTCTGCTTGATATCAGTTCCATGATCCTAATTAAGGATGCATGGGCAGTTTCTGCTCACAAGAAGCGGCAAGCAAAAAATGGTAGGCAAGCATCGGAACTACCTGTGGTCCGTTTCGGGTTCATGGATAGCGGTGCAGCCGCATTTGCAACATTCTCACCTCATCGCAAACTTCCTTGAACCGATCTCACAAGGAGCATGTTCTGAAGCAAAGCCTGTTCACCAGCTCCTTGGTGTTTTCCCTGAAATTTTGTTTGTATACAGATTATTGACTCAAGTCCAAGTGGGTTTGTACGCTTGAAGTCCTTTCATGATTGGCCATGTCCCAAGTTCAATGCGTTGGCCAAGTGCAAATGTCGGGTGAACTTGAATTAGTAAAGCCACTTACCAAAGATGTAAATCTAGACAGTTGTCATGTTACATTGGAGGAGGTCAGTGCCAAAACGGCATGAAGAGTGGACTTCCTGCACAAATCAAACCAGTGGGACTTGCAACAAGACTTAACAAGTCGGCGAAAGATGTGACACTGATTTTTGGCTGACGAACTTGTGCACCGAGAGTTCCCACTCGCAGGTGTCAAGAGGGCACGGCCTGCACAGTGGATGATTAAGGCTTGTCCTGTCGGCGAATAGTCACAAGTGCTGATTCGGTGTAGACCTTCTGGAAGCACAAATCTTTGGTGTTGGGTTGTTGGTCACGCCATATTTGCTTGATCAACAGTTACAACAGGGCAAGGTGAAGATATACAGTAGTCAAGATGAGGCCATGCAAAGCAGGCAGAACAAAGATCAACCTTGATGCTCATGGTTCAAGGAACTGCACACTGGACCTGCCTTGCGTGCATCCGCGCATGTAACCTAGCCTAGAATCTGGTTTCTTGCCAGGCAGGCCTTGCGAAGGAGGAAGCCCAACAGAGCACGAAGGAGGCAATGCGCTCGCCATGTTTATTGTAACAAAAATATATATATATGTATAGTTGATTATATTAGTCTATATATTAGTAATACATCATGTCGCCACCCGTTGCGAGGATTTTCATTGCTGTGCAGCTAGAATGATGTAGGCCTATTTGTCAGCCACTCACCTCTGACTCTTTTTCGAGGATGATCAGCCCAAAGAGGCGGTCGGCAGGTATCCAGAGTCTCCAGGCAGCAGCGAGTGGCGAGGGTGTCATCGATCGGTCAGAAACGTGCTCCAAAGTGTTGCTGTATGGTTTTCTGTTCAAGTAGTACATCAAAGGGCTGCCTAGTGTTCCCACGCATGAAAGCTCAGCCGTTTCTGCGTTGGATCTGGCTTTTGCAGCATTTGCCCTCAAGCAAGCTACGTCCAGCGTGAGTTGCTGAAGGACTGTTCCTCAATGAAAGCCATGGGAAGCCCCACTAAAGAAGAAATGGCCAAGAAGAGGATTGAGGAGGAACTGGCGGAGAAGGCACTTTGAAGCTTTGACGGTTGTATCGATATGTTGGAACATTCAGTCGTCAATGACCAACCCACAAGGCACCTGGAAGCGTAAAGCCATTCTTTGCATGCTGTGGTGGTCCAGTTGGTACCATGGAGAAATGCATTTGCATTGTACCTCCAGACCAACGAGAGCAGGCGGGATCAGTCTATAACAATGATTTAATGTTTTGTTTACAGCGAGCAGCGAGCGTTTTAGTTATGTTTGGTTTGTTTCTTGTTCTCAGTCTCATTTGAGAAATTTTACGTTTATATAATTGACTGCGCTCAATGTTGAAAAAAGGTGAAGTCTGCTATTGAGAAGTACAGATCTTTATGATCTCACTGGTCCATCGCCTCTGCACGCCGCAAGTCTTCGATGAAGCACATTTTGCGTTGCAGGCACAGTGGACATGCTTTTCGTACCAGTCTTGGTGTAATTCGTCTTAGTTTTGCAGGACACATCGCTGCAGTTGGAAGCGCTGTGCAACGTAAACAATCCAGAAAAGTTGGGTGAGGGGTGTTGCTGCAAACTGTTGGAGCAATGTTACTCGAACCATCTCAGACCCAAATAGTGATGTACTCAGCCAATTAAGGTAGTAGTAATGCCCTACTAGTAGCTTCTTGTTATTAGTAGAAATGCCAAGAGCTACTAGTGGCGTTCTTGCTACTAGTAGCGATGCCCCTGTTGCTACGTGTTGCATGGTTACTTTCGCTTCCACCTGAGACGTCCTAGATGGCGGACTCACCACATCTCACCACTTACTTCAGACGGGTGGTGGCGCTGGCAGATGGAAAAAGGTCGCCTAGACCAAGCGCTCGTTGGGTTTGAGCCGGTTTAGTTTGTGTGTTCTAGATACTACATAGATGCAATTTGACGGGCTGGCCATTCAATCCAAGGCTGCAAGGCGGTGTTGAGTATGAGGGGACAGTGATTCAATGGTACTCAAAGCAGGCAGGCTGGGCATGGCTGGGCAGCTTGCTCAGCTCTGGATATCTTTCCATTTGGACCTGTGGAATCATTTCAGTGGCAACTGGCAGCATAAAAGACTGTCCATTAAGGTGACGGTGACGCTATCGATGAATCATGATGTAAATGGCATCACACAAGCCTGCCAGGGGTCGGGCTACCTCCGGACGATCGAGGGCACCGACGTGTATGCTGACCTCAAGCACTTTTCGAATCTGGGCCTCTCAGCTGAGTAATTAGGGAGTGTTCCTGATGTGGTCTCAACGCTTTCAAGAAAAGCCTGCGTATTTGGGTACATTGGGTACGCTCCAATCAAGGACAGACTCGACCGGAATCTTCGGCCCAACACTTTGGGGAGGACTTTCCTGGATTCCTGGATCTGGGACAAACAACTCATAACAGTTTCAGTGGTTGTCCTGGATTTTCTGTGGTTTGCCCGCTCCGACTGAATTAGGTGGTTGCCTACTTAATTGAGTAAGGGTGTAAGCTACTCGCAATAGGAACTCCTACCTACTGGATGGAGGATAGCTCACGCCTCTTCAAGGAAGCTCCCCCCGCCTCAAAGCGGGGGCAGCTTGCTGGCACTAATGATTTGGCTCCTAGTTGTTTAGGGAAACCCGTCCAGTTGTGCTCTTTGGAAGCGATTCAAAAGCTCGCATCCATGCTTTGACCATCCGCGCATGTCGGCCAATACCAATGATTGCCGCAAGCGCTTGTTTTGATGCAATCAAACCCGTCCAACACGGCCAGATTGGGGCGAAGAGCCGGTGCTTGGAATGCGCGTGAAATTCCAGGCTCGAAGCATGAATTCAACTGAGCAGTGCAAGGGCCTGCCTTGAAAGGACCTATTTGGACCTGCATTCAATTGTGAGGCAGGTTGAACATCTATGTTGTTGCGTCGTGTTTCAATATTGGTTTAGGATGGACAGTTGATTTGGCAACACCTGCTCGTGCTCTTGCGCAACTATGCGATGTTGAATTAAATGCTAAATGCTAAATGTTTGTCGTTCATTAGACCCTGTCACGACGAGTGCTAAGCTGCTAATATGATCAAAGACTGCAACCCCTGGATCAAATCAGTATTTACAATTGTATTACTATTATACATATATTTACTGGCGCATCTATTGTTTAGTTTCTTTGATAATTTTGGCCGCGGCAATTCTCAAAACCAGGCACCGTGGAACAAGGACCGCCGACGACATGAAGGTCGTCACTTGGCAGCGGGTAAGGGCTTGTGGGCAGGTCCTATACTGTAAGTGGCATGCATGCTAGTAGGTTGGAGGCCCTCGCTATTAGGTTGTAGGCCATTGCTATTAGGGTGGAGGCCATGCGGCATGCGAGTAGTAAAATCAACAATGCGCCTTTCGCGGTGCTCAAAAGAGGCTTGAGGTGGTATGACCTTGCGGACCTTGCTGATATGGGTGTGTGCAAGGATGAAGAGACGGGTTTTGTGTTTTCTATCCCTTTGGTCCACATGAGGCATGCATCCACATGCCAATCTCAAGCTCAAATAGAGTTGGACTGCCACAACGTTTGCCTGGCCTAGAGCAAATGGTGTTGGGCCTTTTGATTCAACCCGGGCAAATCTTGGCCTCCAAGACGGCTAGAAATCGCTTGCTTGCGGTGCCCGTCGGCTTTGCAGGGAAACATGCGATGCCTTTCTTTTGCTTTGCCACATGGCATCATTTGTTGAAGGAAGAATACTTTTGTTACTCGCAGAACGGATCCCAGTTTTTTGTCCCAAATGACCCCATGCGTGTAGTTCTTGAATTTGATGCTGCTATTTTGTCACTATGCAGACCATGGCTGTGCTCCTTCCTGTCCAGGAAACATTGAGATTCTGAAGCTTTGCGATGAAGTTCCGGCACTTCCTGAGGGGTGGCTTGAACTGCAAAACTGGGGTAAGCAAAACGTATGGCTTTAAGTCATACGAGGCTTTAAATTAGTAGCAAGAAGCTACTAGTAGCTCCTGACATTACTAGGAACAAGAAGCTACTAGTAACTGTGAATGTGACACTCGGTTGACCCTGCCGGCCGCCGCTTTAGGCACAAGAGTTCGCTGTCTTGTGAAAAGGCGTGTTCGCCTTAGCCTGTTTACATTGGTAGCGTTGAGCCATACTCCTTTCGCCGTGCGTGGGGACTTCTAGGGCTGTTAGAGGTGGTTGAGATCACGGTGAGTGTGGCAGGGGTCGCTACGGTGTGGGCATGCCTACGACCGATGAGGATGGCAGCGTTCAGGAGGCCGACCTGGATGATGAAGGAGCACTTCCAGCTGGTCCTGAGGAGATGAGGCCGGGGACACCAACGGAGAGGTCTTGGGGTGGCTGGAGTGAGCAGGAGTGGAAAAGGTGGAATGCTTACTACGCCTGGTCCGCGCCTTCGGGAGATCCCGGGGTTGGATCTGGAGATGGTGCAGGAGCAACATCTTCGTTGGGACCTACTGCATCGGCGGCGCCTACGGCACCTCAGGGGATTGGTCATGATCCTTGGTGGGGGAACCAAGGAGATCCATGGCAAGGACACGAAGACCGTCGAAGTGGAGCTGGAGGACAAGACAAGATCCAGGTTCCCGAGTACAATGGCGAAGATGACAGGGACGGTCTGAAGGCTAAGGGCTACATCCGAAAGATCGAGGCCTGGAGGAGGGTGACCCGGTTGACACGCCCCAAACGAGCCCCCTACGTGGCTTACTTCACGGATGAAGAGAAGGGTGAGAAGGAGGGGCAAGAAACACTGTGCGTGCAGCAGGACATTGGCTGGCAAAGCATGGATGACCTCCTTCCTGCGCTACCTGAAGGCTGAACACATTCCCTTCTTTGTGCTCCCACAAGAGGAGGTCTTCAAGTTTGGAGGGGAGAGACTCTACCCCTCAAAGATGGCAGTAGTGACGTGGCTTGCCATCAAGAACAAATGGTTCCTGGCCAAGATCAGCGTGGTCAGTGCCGACGTCCCTTTGCTCCTGAGCAGGGCGGCATTGGCTGAGCTAGGCATGAACTACAACATTGCCAAGGGCCTTGCAGACTTCGGCACACTTGGCGTCAGCCAGGTTTCTTTGATTATGAGTTCCTCCGGCCACCCACATAAGTTTCTGTGACTGGCACCAAGCCGGCTCTGCTTCCATGGCGGAGCGGATTGACTGGAGTCTCACTGAGATCTTCGTACCTCAGTCGCAAGAGGTATACATGGTGAGCCCGCAGCCGGAGTCACAACTGTTTTATCCAAAGAAGTTGACGGAAGCTGTACATGATATGCTGATCGCTGAGCCGTTGCACCATGAAGCATTTTTGAATTGGTGGAGATCAAAGGATTACTATAGGGACTTTTGTATCGAGACCCCGGAGTACATGTACCGCATCCACGTCACACCCCGAAGAACTTCCTTTGATCCCCGGACATGGACTACATCGAACCAGACATTGAAAACCAAACTGCTGGAACAGTTAGACGAAGATTGTGAAACCATTGCCATTCCTTGCACAACCAATGCACTACCTCTCAGTCATCTGTTTCAGTGGGGCGATGCTGCCCCCGGATCTTGGAGATTTCTATGGGTCGGACGGAGCCGTTTTCCCAGACGACTCAAGTTGCAGACATCGACAGGTGTCTTGCCTTCCGACCCCAACATTCCTTCGGATGTCCTCGACCCCGACCATCTCGCCATGGAAGATGAACAAGGCGGAGCTGGTGGACACGCTCGTCCAGATGGGTATCCCGGTTCGCAAGGAATGGACTGTGCCGGAACTCCGATCCATCATCTCCGAGCAGAAGGAGGATCCACATCACAACGAGCTCAAGGGACTCTCCAGCATGAAGCTCGACAAGTTGATCACCAAAGCCCGAGAGGCAGGAATCGAGATTCCGGCGAAGCCCACCCGGGGACAGCGTACCAGCCACTCCGGAGGAGCTGGTACTGTTTGGCCGGCACAAGGGCTACCGCTTCTGCGAGGTGCCCTCCAGCTACTTGGATTGGGCGATCACAGAGACAACCACGGGCGACAACAGCTCACCGGACTTGATCCGGCTTGCCCGTTGGGCCAAGGAGAACAAGTCCAAGAAGGACGACACCACCTCCAAGAACAAGGCGCAGGGCTACAAGGACCCGGAGTCCACCGCACTGAACGCACCTCCACCTGCGGAGCTGCCTCCCAAGTCTGTCAGCCAAGGGGATCAAGCTCTCAAGACGGGATCCAGCAGTCGCTATCCCAAGACGAAGAGCAAGACAGCTCCGAACAAAAAGACGCGGACATTGAGCTCCTCCGACGACGAGGACTTCTCCATGATCGAGGACATCGACAGCTTCCAGAAGATCGAGGCCCTGGAAAAGACTGTCAAGGCCCTCCAGGATCAGCTCGCCGCGTCAAGTCAAGAGCCGGCATCTTCAACCTATTTGGGGGAAAACAAAACTATGAGGTCTCGTCCGAGGACATTGGGGACTCGAATGAGACCGTGGATCTGGTACCCAAGGTGAACCTCCACTATCCGGATGACTATGTCCAGGTCCGAAAGTTGCCTAGCCACAAAATGAAGAGGGTCGCCAGAAAAAGGGTCCGTAGTTGGGCGAGACAAACATTGGGCTGCCTCATGACGACACTTCTCTGCTACAGCGCTGGAGACGATCGAGCGAAACACCGACCCGGTGAGGTCGTGGGCAGAACAAAACATATGGCCTACGTCTCTACATGGAGGAGAAGGAGAACCGGTTGCCCTCTTGGAACTTTTCTGTGGTCATGCCCAATTGACCCTTGAGTACGCCAAGTCCAAAATGAATGTCCTTGAGCCACGGGACCTCCGCTTTGGACATGATCTTTTTCAACCCGAACAACAAGAAAAGGTCCTAGAGGAGTGGACTACTTCAAGCCCGAATTGGTCTGGATTGCACTACCCTGCACGGTATGGGGGCCATGGACGAATATCAACTACAAGGATAGACCACAACTTACACAACTTCTCCGTCGACTTCGAGCTAAACAGCGGAGACTGATTCGCTTCGCTGTCAAGGTTGCCCTCAAACAGGTTGAACAAGGACGCCGTGTCGGATTCGAGCACCCAAGGAACTCAGCCATGTGGAAGGATCGCTCGATGCAGACCTCCACAAGATCCTTTATTCCATGAGGTGAAACTGGACATGTGCTGTTTCGACCTCAGAGCTGTCACTGATGGTGAGCTGCTCAAGAAGCCGACAACTGTCTACATCACGGACGAGGCCTACGCACAGGGACTTGCCAGAGCATGCGCCTGCACCCATGAACATGGAGCCACAGCAGGACAGAACACCAAACCAGCTGGGCAATACACTCCTCAGTTCGCGAGAGCGGTTGTAAGGAGCCATATGGCTATGAGAAAAAGGAGGCAAACTATCCTGGACGCGTTCGCGGTCGAGAGTCATATCTTCTACCTGGCCGCGCAGGAGATGGGCCGCTGAAGGGACCTAGCGAGGACCTGTCTGTTGTCAAGATCGATGAGGGTGCCTCAGCTATCTCATTTCCCAGTCATGTGCCAAAAGGAACTGCAAGTGCCCTCAGACGGGTTCACCAGAACATGGGACACCCGTCGAATGAGGATCTAGCCCGACACCTACGTCTTGCAGGAGCTGATGCACAGGTGGTGAATGCCTGCCAACAATTACGGTGCCAGACATGCTGCCGATGCTCCAACGCTGGAAGCCGGAGGCCCGCCAAGGTAGTGAGACCACTCGACTTCAACGAGGAGGTTGCCGTGGACACCATGCACCTGTACACATGTAAAGGGACCAAAGTCACGGTCCTGTCTATGTTAGATGTGGGATCAGGATTCCACCTGGTGTACCCCGTGACAGGGAGAAAAGGAGGAGACTATGTGGGATGTTTCCTACACGCATGGATGGCATGGGCAGGCGCACCTACAACCGTTCTAGCTGATCAAGAAGCAGGACTCGCGAAAGACTTCCCAGCCGAGCTAGAGAAGCATGGAATCAATGTTCAATACACAGCCGGGCAAGCCCATTGGCAAAATGGTCATGTCGAACGACAAAATGAATGGTTCCGACAAATGTTTGATCGGGTGAAAGAGCACACTTCAATGCAGGACCATGAAACAGAATGGGTTCTCGCTGCCGTTGGGGAAGCCAAGAACTACCTAAGGAGACGGCGCGGCTACTCACCTGCTCAGTGGTTATTCGGTGTCATTTTTAGGCGGCATCGGTCTAGCTGACGGAGACGACGACGCCGCAGAGCGCCAGGACCTCATCGACCCATCCGAGGACTGGCAAAGAAGAGCTAACATAAGACAAGCAGCTCGTGAAGCTTACATCCAGCTATACCAGCTACTGAAAGTCTTCAACGAGCACTACATGGCCGTCCCCGGGTTTTGCATGGTGATTTTCAACAAGGCCAATATGTCTACATCTACCGCACTTCAAAGATGGCCGGGGGAGTCGCTCGAAAGAGACAAAATATTGGAGAATGGATTGGACCTGGCATTGTGGTGGGACAAGAAGGAAAGAACTTCTGGGTATCAAGACAGGGTCGCTGCCTTCTATGTGCTCGTGAACACCTCCGGTTAGCCGAGTCCGAGGAACTTGGTGCTGCGCTACAAGCCCGCGCGGTCAAGAAGGACCTAATGCAGTTGATCGAAGGGATGGAAGTTGATGATCCTGAGGTCTTTGCGGACGCCACTGGAGATCCTGAACCTCATCAACCTGAACATCCAGAGGTCCAGAGATGGATTATACTCCTACAGAACCAGGCGACGGACCTCCTGGAGATGATGAAGAAGAAAGAACAAGGGCCAGCAAACGAGAAGCTGAACAGAAACTAGTACCAGTCAAGAGAATGAGACAGAAGGGAGATGTTCCGATGGTGCCTGCCAATGTCCCAGTTCCTGAAGACGACGAGCTTCTGTGTTATATGGCTTCAAGTGACAGGGTACCACGGGCGCTACAGAAGCAAGCGGACAAAGAGTTGAAGTGGAGCCAGATACCTGAGGGCGAAATCCCCTTGTATAAGGAGGCCGAGAAGAAACAATGGGGTGAACATCTCAAGTATCAGGCCATCAAGATTCTCCCTGCTCACATCGCAGCCGAAGTTCGCAAGAGGGTTCCCAAAGAAAGGATACTGAAAGCACGGTTTGCCTACCGGGACAAGAACTGCGCCAAACGACGAGAAGATCCTTCGGTACCTCCGAAGGCAAAAGCTCGACTATGTGTTGCGGGGCATCGAGACCCTGATCTCAAAACTGGCCAACTCAACACTGAGGCACCTACAGCCACTAAGTTTAAGGTGTCTATTACATGTCTGGTCTTCCTCACCGTGCAGCTAGGCTGGTCGTTAGCTGCAGGAGACATCGAAGCGGCATTCCTCAATGGAGCCGAAGCTCGACGGGACCTCTACTTTGAACCACCTTCAACGGGATTGGAGGGAGTCGAGGAGGGGTCACTCATCGAAATTGTCAAAGGGGTCTTCGGACTCTCCACCTCACCACGCCTATGGTGGGACAAACTCGCCGGAACATTGAAAGACATCAAGATTGAATACAAAGGGATGAGCCTGAACCTGGAACAACACTACCTTGACAGTTGCCTGTTCCTCCTTGTCAACGGGGAGAAGGAGATTCACGGGTTATTGGCTACCCACGTCGACGACATCCTCATTTCCGCCCAGTTGGACCTCCGGCGCAAGATGGAAGAGGCCCTGTCCGACGTCTTCCCTATCGACACATGGGATGATGCAAAAGATGGGCTAGAATATTGTGGGGTGTCCATCAAACAGTCGGCTGATGAAATTTCCTTGAGCCAGGAGCACTATGTCAACACCAGGTTGCAAACTGTCGACATCCCGAAGGGAGTTGACCTGGAAGGAAAAGCAGATGAAGTTGCAACACTGGACAACCAATCCACCATTGGGGCACTGTCTTGGCTTGCCTCTCAGACAAGGCCAGACATACAAGCTGGGGTGTCAATGGCACAGAGAAGACAGAAGAGCCCGACCTATGAGGACATCAAGAACACCAACCAGGTGGTACGCATGGCGCAGCAGGCCAAGGATGAGAGCTGAGCTACACCAAGCTCGGGAACTTCTCTGACCTGATCCTCCTCGTCTACCACGACGCAGCCTGGGCTAACATTCCCGGGAATGAGGAGAACTTGGACGACGCGGCCCAAAAGGACACTGGCATCTATTCCCAACTTGGGCACATCACACTGATTGCCCATAAGGACGTCCTCGAGGGCAAGACTGGTCAAGGACTGGTGGCATGCTGGAAGTCCCACGCCTGTCCCCGAGTTTGCCGAAGCACCTTCGCGGCTGAAACTATGGCTGCACTGGAGGGTTGGGAATCTGCCATAGCTTTTAGAGCTGTTCTTTTAGGGTGTTTTCCGGGAATGGGGCATAAGATACCCATCCCCTCACCGACTGCAAGTCACTCTATGATTCGGTCCACCGAATCGGAGGGCCAAGAGCACCTTCAGAGAAGCAGTTGATGGTCGATCTTGCTGCCATTCGCCAGATCATTCAAGAAGAGGAGTCCACCTGGCAGCTCGAACAAAAGACCACCTTCCGCAAGGCTCTGCGCTGGCTCCCCACTTCAGCACAGATGTCAGACAATCTGACGAAGGTCATTCCAAAGACCAAGGAGTGGTGGAGTCGGTTGAAGGAACTGAAGCCGGCAGGATCAATAGTATAGAAGACGAGTGTGAATGTGACACTCGGTTGACCCTGCCGGCCGCCGCTTTAGGCACAAGAGTTCGCTGTCTTGTGAAAAGGCATGTTCGCCTTAGCCTGTTTACAGTAACAAAGGGCATCGCTACTAGTAGCAAGAAGCTTCTAGGGGCTCCTGGCATCGCTACTAGGAGCATTCTTACTACTAGGAACAAAGGACGCTACTAGACATAGCAAAGGAATGACGATTTGTCACCATTTGGGTGAAGCCACGAAGCTCGAAGACGATGATGTTGGAGGCCACCGGTGCCTGCTCTCGGGGAACCTGAACAATACGAGCCTCATCCAGGCGCTTTCGGTTGAGAGCTGCAGCGTAAGGTGTCAAGGCAGGCCACTGGTCATTGTTGAGTTGGGCACATTGGAAAACACGTTTTGTTGCCATTAAACCAGTCTCTTGAATGGTATACATCCCCGTTTGCTTGAACCATGGTACGAACATTCTTGGGTGTTGAGTTTCAACAGATGCAAAAGATTAGCTTAAAGTCTCGGAGCAGATGTCGGAGCTGGCCAAGCAGTTAGAAGAAGAAAACTAATCAACCTCAGTGTCAAAGAGCAAGAAGGAAGATAGTCTTTGGAAACCCATGTCATTAGAGGAGTTATGGGGCAAGTAGAAGACATGCATCAAGAAGTGGTTTTGCAAAATTGTTCAAGGATGACAAGTCACGAAAGCTAGCTGCAGCTAGCTGGAGTCTGTCTTGCTTTAGCAAGGAGGGTGGGAGCCGAGGACCTGAGTGCAGATACCTGATTTATCAGGCTTTAACCCCCCCCCTGCGGGTTCAACTCCATCCTTCTCCTCAGTACCTGCTGCTGCTTGGTCTCTTGCTGCTTGCATGCTTGGTGCTGCTGATTGCCTTTGGCTGCTTGCTGGTTGCTGCTGACGTGTTGGGGCATGAGCGAAGAGTTCGGCGGGGGAAGCGGGTGATGAAGAGTTTGGTGATGTTTGGTGGAAGCATGGCAGTAGTTGAGTTTTCCCTTTGTGCATCCTATATTAACTATATTATTGTCACGCTGCCCCAACTCGTGTCATGGTACGGTTGATGCCATTCATGCGGTTCAGGGTTGCTGCACTTGTTGCAACGCAACACTGCTGTTGCTGCTGCCTTTGCTGCTGCTGCTGCTTTGCTGCTGCTCTGCTGCTGCTTTGCTGCTGCTTTGCTGCTGCTGCTGCTGCTGCTGCTGCTTTGTTGTTGCTTTGCTGCTGCTTGGCTGCTGATGCTTGGCTGCTGCTGCTGCTGCTGCTGCTTGGCTGCTGCTGCTGCTGCTGCTGCCTTTGCTGCTGCCTTTGCTGCTGCTGCTGCTGCTGCTGCCTTTGCTGCTGCTGCTGCCTTTGCTGCTGCTGCTGCTGCTTTGAGGCTGCTTTGCTGCTGCTGCTGCTTTGCTGCTGCTTTGCTGCTGCTGCTGCTTTGCTGCTGCTGCTGCTTTGCTGCTGCTGCTGCTTGGCTGCTGCTGCTGCTTGGCTGCTGCTGCTGCTTGGCTGCTGCTGCTGCTTGGCTGCTGCTGCTGCTTGGCTGCTGCTGCTGCTTGGCTGCTGCTGCTTGGCTGCTGCTGCTGCTGCTGCTGCGGCTGGTGCTGCTGCTGCTGCTGCTGCTGCTGCTTGGCAGGCCACTGGTCATTGTTGAGTTGGGCACATTGGAAAACACGTTTTGTTGCCATTAAACCAGTCTCTTGAATGGTATACATCCCCGCTTGCTTGAACCATGGTACGAACATTCTTGGGTGTTGAGTTTCAACAGATGCAAAAGATTAGCTTAAAGTCTCGGAGCAGATGTCGGAGCTGGCCAAGCAGTTAGAAGAAGAAAACTAATCAACCTCAGTGTCAAAGAGCAAGAAGGAAGATAGTCTTTGGAAACCCATGTCATTAGAGGAGTTATGGGGCAAGTAGAAGACATGCATCAAGAAGTGGTTTTGCAAAATTGTTCAAGGATGACAAGCACCGCGGTTGAACAAAATCTTCTACAACGTCCCGTCCTCTTTTCCTTTTTTTACAACGATTTCATCCATTGGACGCTTGACCCCTTTATCCCGAAAACTAAACACTTCTAAGATGTTTGCCTCTAAATAAAGGCTCCTCTCCCACCTCTCTTCACAATTAATAGTTATGTTTTGATATGAGTGTTTTCCTATGAGACAAACATGTTTGTCAAGACACCCACCCCTCAGGCCTTAAGTACTTCTGCAAGATGTGGAAGTTGAACAGTGCAATGGAGTTCTGGCTTCAGAAGCTTCATCCTGATGTTCAAGAGGCACTCATCGACGCAACTCGGTGAGTGAATTTGTTCCTCCGACTCCAACTTGAGGCTACATACAACAACAGGCAGGAAAAGAATACCTTCGTGCAGTTCAATGTATGTGTTTGTGAATGGACAAGTTGGCTCAAGGAATACGATGATTCAACAGTTCCAGCTGTATTGCCAGCAGATGAGGACTGGGGAAGAGGTTCGTTTCATGATAAGTTGGGGCACCAGCAGATTCGTTCAAGTCATGAAAGGTTGTCTCAGCAAGAGTTGGCTCAGCACAAGAGTGACATTGCCGACCAACAAGGAAACACGGGAACTGTCTCAGAAAGTCTGTTTGTTCTCACGAAGCTTGTTGCGAGCTCCGATCCTATGTAAACACATGCATGAGCATTAACTTGCCCCACTCGTCCAAGTGTCAAAACCCGCAAACTACAGTTGGGCAGGTGGGGCTAAATATCGTTGTTGGCCTCGTGCATATTACTGTATGTCTGAAGGATCACACAAATTGCTGATGCGGTGAAGGAGTAGGAAAAAAATGGAAAAAAGTATAGCAGGTGACAGTGTTTGAAACTTCTGTCAATTCCTATGGATTTTGAACAAGTCACTTACTCGACGCTGGGCTGCGTGGATCTGCTGGGTTCTGGCTCTAGGTCGATTCGGCGATTCGGGTTGTTCTAAGTTGACTCGTACGACGAATCGTGGAGTTGTTGTGGAAAGTTGAATATGAGTTAACATTGAATTGTGTTTAATTTAACGTTGTTTAACGTGTCCAGTTTATGTAGAGTTGGGATGTTCGACTGAGCGAAGCATACCACCAAAGCATACCCCATGGCCATCCACTTCCCATAGCATCCCATAGCCATGGTCAAACATCCCGGCCCGGGAACGTTAAACAAATACACACCCATATGTTTGGAGACATTTGCTTTCAATTTCATAACAATTTACGTGAGCACTGTCCAAAGCACCGCCTGTGTAGTGACTGTTCGAACGTCACTCCGAAGATTGTCCGCTCGTGTGCAAGGAGGTCCGGTTATATCCATCCTCTTCAGTGGCAGTTGTTCTTCGGCTGAGCGGCTGAATTCCTGCCTTTGTTTTTCCCAAAGGGCTCACTGGGACTACGACACAGATTTTGCGAGTGTCCAATCAATGAGCTTTGCTCAATGCACTGTTTGCTTGACATTGCAGTCATTGCAGATGCTTGTAGGAAAGGTTTGCCCAAAGCAGGTTTTGTGTGTGTATCCATCCAGATGATAGCAACCACGCAATGAATGTGCTCGTTCACAAACCTGGAGTTTAGTGCATGATTTAGTTTCTAGATCATCTAGACTAGATCTACAGAGAAAGAAGTGAAACGCTCAGGGCGGCATCCACCGCAACATAACGAAGGAGGTCCTGCGCAGACTCTTCAGCCGCTTTGGGAGAGTGAGGAGCCTTCAGCCAGGGCCACAGTAGCTGGTAAGACAGACAGTGTGGGATGTAATTCATGCAACAGAATGGTGGAGGCGGGGTGCGTAAAATTGACCTTGATTGGTCGTCATTTGGACTTTCCATGTGCAGGGATCGAGAGCATATGAGAGCATGCAGCATGCCTGTTTGAGATCACAAAAAGGCTCGTCAAAGAACCAGTCCACAGTGTTCGCCCAGGTTTGTTGGAACAACAGCTGTGGTCGAGATGAGTAGTGAGGAGGCAACTTTGCTGACGGGAGTGGCAATTGCATGCATGTGTAGCCATACCATCTTTACCTCTTTGTTGGATTTTGTTGGAAGCAAACCAAGGTGCATGTTGAACAGCCTTACTTAGCTGCTTCGCTGTGTTGAAGAAAAGGTTGCATGCGCCCTATGTGACCTTGAAGTGCAGAGCAGACTTTTTGCCCCTTTGAAGAAGACTCGCTCAGCACTTCAAGCTTTCCAGCCTCCAATGCTGAAGATCTCTAGGAAGGGGCCTTCCCAGACCAAGGTGAGCTCATGGAGCCTTGTAGGAAAGGGATGGTATATAGTAGTATATAGTAGCGATGGTCTCCATCCTAATAGTGATGGCCTCCAACCCCAACCAAATAGCGATGGCCGCGTATATGTCTTATATAATTAATCTTATGTATATATAATATAATTTGATTCCCAAAGAAGCACCGTCGAGACTTCTCACAGGAAGCTGCTATAGCTGTCCAAGACATTCTGCTCTCACTCGATTGGCCAGGCAAAGGGCGAGAAGAGCCACCACGAATCAACATGACGAAGTATTCAAGAACCTCAATTCCAATTGTTCGGTCATTCATAAAGTTGCTGGCAGGGAAAGCATTTTTTTGCATGGTTTCGTGAAGTGTTGGCCTGTTTGGGGAATTCAATGCTCATCGCAGCATGCATGCCAGGTGCACTTGTCGTGTACTTCTTCCATCAGATACCGCCAGTGTCCATCCACGAAATACCAGAGGGCAACTTGACAGAAGCTTGTGTGGCGGTGGTGAGTAGCAAAGCCCCAAGTACAAGCGACAATAGCTCTTTGATTTAAGTTCTAAACAAGTGATGATGATGATGATGATGATGATGACGATGAGGATGACGATGACGATGAGGATGAGGATGACGATGACGATGATGTATATAGCACTAAACTATACTAAACTAAACTCTGAAAAGTTTGGCTAGTGATTAGTGATACTGTACAGAAACCAAAAAGAGAACACAACCCACCCCTTTGTCAAACAGCACCGAATTGCCACGGAGCGACGCCAAAGCACCACACCCAGAGGTAGTGCTATCCGGGCCATTCCGGGCCGCGGCGCGAAGCAGTTGAAAAGGCCCAAGTGACAAAAGGTTTGTGCTCGCTATGGCACAGACCGTCAGCTGCATCCACGCGCGAAGCGTTTTGAAAGGATGCAACAAACCTTTCCAAAGTCAAAACAGGAATTGTGCACCCACATCGAAAGGGAGGCAACACAGCCTACAGTATCACGTAATCACCAATCCAGCCATTCGATCAGGAGACTGGGTGATCCTGTATATGGGTTGCAAGCAGGGGCCGCACGTCTGGGGGGAAAAAACAAAATTCTCACTAGCCGCTAACCCACTTTCCAGGAGACACACTCTGGCCAGAAATCGGGCACCCCGCGTCCCGCGCATCATTTTGGTGTTTCAAAGATAGCAAACGCCTTTCAGTGGTGTCGACACGGCACGAATTGACTACAAGAAACGAAGTCAGCCGGCTGGCCAGCTGACATTCTAGACACGAGAAGCTGGCGCCTATAGGAGGAAACTGTGAGTTTCCCGCTGGGTCGCCCACAAGGAGGACTGTCGACATGAGCCAGCTTCTAAAGAGCCTGGCCAGTACTGTAGCCTAACCACAAGGCGGGCAGGGACGCAGCACTACTCATTTGTTCAACTGGTCCCGCTTGTCCCTGAACACGGTAACAAACCAAGTCACCAGCAGCATATCGTCGAGGTAGAGGTGCAGCTTTACGAAGTAGAGCGGATCTCACACGCCTGTGACAACGCTTTTCTGTCCAAAAGCAGTTGCTCCATCCATTGAGCTCTCAATGACTCCTAAAATCAGCGAATTCATCCTCATTCAGCAGTGTTGCAATGCCTTTTGGCCTCTTGCATAACATCCATTGCCTAGGACTAAATCCTCCATGCCTGATACAGTCGTTCTTGGAGACCATTGCTGTCTTGCAGTCGCGTTTCCCTGTCACGTGTCGTTCACGACATACTCGTCTCCAAGTTTAATTGACAATGCCGCCCTGACGTTCACCTCGTCCAATGTGTTCTGGACCCTCGAGGCCGGCTGTGCCGCGGTCAGACAGTCCTCGACTGAAAGCTCCACCGTTATGCCGTACGCGGTTTGCGCGCACAACCTTGGGAAGCCCAGCCCATGATGCCACACAGCGTGAGAACTCCAGGCATTTGCTCGAAGCTGGTTGAACACCTCCTTCTTCAGCAACATGAATGACCTGATGAAAGCAGGTGCCACTGCAAACGATTGACAACCAACCGTGACGGCTTCCCTCATCATAATGAGTCTCAAACACATCAACAATGACGGTCTCAGTATGGCTGAACTCACATCGTAGAGGTGCAGCAATGGGATGTGTTTTGTCCACCTTCATGACTTACCGCGCAATGGTCACACTTGAAGTTCTTTGCAGCCCAAACCAAGTCAGGGTTTGCTTTTGCACTCTTCAATATCTGAATCATGAATCATCACATGTTTTGGCTTATGTCCCAACATGTTGTGAAGTCTTCTTACATCCAATCCTTGCCTTTCTTGGGACTCGGCTCCAAACCTTACGTCTCTTTGCCTCATCCTTGGGAAAACCTTGAAGCGGTAGGTCCGGTAGGTCGTCAACAAGTTGTTCCTCAGGATCGGCAATTGCATTGTAACTGTATACCATGTAACCATGTATGTATGGAGTCTAAAGTACCCAAAAGATCAGCATCCTCTCTTCAGCAGGGAATGCATGTTCGACTTCATTCAAATCCAAAACATCGTGAATGACATTGTTCGAGATTTCACAGAGTTCTGGATCATCTACCGTGTCAATGCTCTTGGGACTTGGGACAACAAAGTACAGTCCTATCACAGCATCAATTACGGATCACGAAAATCCACAGTCAACAAGTGATCTTGGATATGACCTGCGCGCAGGGGCCACACGTTTGGACGCGACCGCAAGTATCCAGGGTCCTGTTTCCTGCATCCCCCTTCATCTCGATTTCCGCAAACCACACTCCGGCCGGAAATCTAGATTCCTTATCAACAAACAGCTCCTTATGAACGCCAGAGGGCATTCAAAAAGTGCAAAGCGCCAATCAGTGGCATCGACATGGCACACAGCAAGATAACATGCTAAACAAAAGCTGCGCTAGCTGGAGAACATTGGAGATCAACGCAGTTCCAGCGCCTTTGTCACGCCTTTGTACAGCAAGAGTGGCAGATGCGAGTGTCCGCTGGGTCGCCCACGAGGAGGACTGTCTAAAGAAGTGATGATGTCCAGCGCCTCTTCGGTCAGTTTTTTGTTCATGGACCATACTCTGTACATGAGGCTCTATGAAATGAAAATCACTTTCCTCTATGTCTACGAAATGGATTTTGGACACCATTTCTTTGCAAAATGTGATGTAGGACTCCCAAGGTAACAAGTACAGAGGATCAGGGAATCAGGGACCTACAAAATTCAGAAAAGGGCAGCCCAAGCGCAAGGAGACTTCCACAGGCCCAAAAGGTGTAGTTTCAACTCGGCTCGCGCTTCCCAAATGCTGTTAGTGTCATCTCAGTGTGTGAGGGCTGCTGTGTAAACCAAGAGGTCAGAAACTAGTTGTGTCATGGAGACGAAACAAATACATAATATATAACTATAATATATAGTGCTATATAATCATATTATATGTATGGGCGCCAGATATAAATATATTGCAGTATATAGTAGATGCAGATGCTGAAGCAGTTGCATTGAGCAGACCCACAAATTGAAACGTACATACGAATCAGAAAACTAAAAAAAAAAAACATGTCCAAAATCGATGGTAGCCTCACCCTCGACTATCACAAGTCGACATTGATTACATTGGTTAAAGTAGATCAGAGATATTTTATGGTTTGTTCTACCTTTACTTTTGTAATAAATGATTGATTTGCTAGCAAAGGATTGATTTGTTAGAGAATGAATTACAATACAACAATTAAAGTTAGATCATATGATTCAGAAACAATTGCTTTCCAGGGGCCCGAAATGTCCGCGAGCCCATATATATATATATTTAAATATACACCGCCAGTATGAAAGGCCAGGGAAAGCATACTTTACCACTTCGCTGCGGTTCGGAAGGGACTGTGCATACTGTTAGGACTTGCTTATCAATTAACCTCGAACATAATATGATATTGCCCCCGTTTCCAGCTGTGGTGGCTCTAACAGATCTTCAAGCTTGTTTGATGCAGACATTAACGACTCATGAAAGGTAATAAATTCTTTTCTGGATCAATTTACATGTGCAAGATTGTGACACCTGCTGAATCTCAAAGACTTGGTTTTTAAGGTCAGCGCATCTTCGGCACCGTTAAGGCAGGTTGATGTGAGGGTCAATCCTTTATGCTCAATATGCAGCAAATGAATGCAACTGAATGCAACTGAATGCACTGTGCCTTACTAGTAGTAACAAGTGCATCGCTACTAGTAACAAGTGCCTTACTAGTAGTAACAAGAAGCTAGTTTTTCCCGGTTGCTTTACCTTGACGTCGCCAGCAATGGAACTCGAAGAGTCGGACCGGCTGGATTACTGTGAATGGAACAGGCGGGGTGGGGTGGAAGGTGAAAATGTATCGGCTGGATGTGAAAGACCTGCGGTTTGGGCATGACTTCTATTGTTCGGACAGAATGCCTTCCGGACTGATTTGGTTCTCATTCAAAAGGTTTGCAGAAGCTGGAGTGGCTTGGAGCAGCCCGCAAATATGAGGTGGTGGCCCCTTTCAGCGTCCCCTTGGCGAACCCTGAAGCCTCACCAGTCGACCTGGGCTTCTTTGTACAGTGACCCCAAACCTACGGCAGATGCAATGCTGCAGACAAATGTTTGGCGGAATATGTGCTGCAATCTAAAGAAAAAAGAATGACCAGTGTACCAGACTTGTTTCTGGGTGTTGTATGTTTGTTCTGGATGTTGATGACCAACTGGACATCAGTTTGGGTGCAATCCATATGTCGAGCTGCTACGTTGCCAGAGACCTGGAAGGCCCTGACGTAACAGTGACCAGCAACTGTTTGGAAGATGTGGTCACCTTGATCCCAGGCTCGGTTCTTGACGTGGAAACTGCTTTTGTACCACAAAATAGTGCTCCTTTTGCATTGCTCAGATTTGATTGTCGGTCAATTCCATTGTGGGGCGCACACCATTTGAGCAGATCAGGCGCGCCAGTTCTCTTCAAGATGGGAGCTGCGTACAGTGATTCCTGGAACAAGCACACAGTCCAGTGTTGCATGGGCGACCGAGAAGCTGCTGCTTGATTCACCGTTCAGTGTGCTTGGAGGTTTAAATTGAACAGTCTCCAAGAGTTTGTTTGTCACCACAACTCACCATGTGATATATCTCTACTTTTTGTATCTTTTTGTAATTGGATATTATATATACTGTATATGATTATGACATTCGTATTCATTCTGCTACTGGTTATTCAACATATTATACTTCCAGCTATTTGTCGTGAATTTTAGGTAGATGTGCAACATTTGGGCGAAGTTGTGGTCGAGCTAGCATTCCTTCTTGAAACTCTGTCACTTTTGTCACGTAGGTTTTTGCAGACAGTGGGATCCCAAAGTAAAAAGCACCTGGAGGGGGAATCGATTCAACTCATCATGCAGTGGTTTGCCTTTAGGTGCCTAAAGCTATAATATAGCTCTTGCGTCCCAGTCAATATCTCCGAAAGAGTGTTTGCAATGACCTGTGGCCAAGTCAGGTTTTGACAGCTCATGAGTTAAGCTAAAAAACTCAGCCATACAGAATTGAGGTCAAAAGACAAACCTTGGCGGGGAGGATGTTTGGTCATTGGGTTTGCTTGTAAGACCAAGTATCATCCACCACTGAGATTCGTGAGCACTTGAGCGCCAACTTCGGCACAGACTGCGCTGTGCGCCACTGGGCGCGGTCGCTTCAGCATAAGCTCCAGATGCTTGGCCATTGGATATGTTGATAATCATTGCGAACGAACTGGAGCTGTATCTAGAAGCTAGCCTATTCACCTTGCCATGCGGGCGGGCGCAGCTGGTGGTAAATGGAACATGAACGTTAATCTGATGTTCACTGATCTCACAGCTTACCACCAAAGTCACCAAAGGTCATTTCATAGTTTTGATCCATGAGCTTTGTCATACCACTGGAGATAGCTCCTTTGCTCCAGGTGATAGTTATTGCGTGGGCAATGGTGGGCTTATTGTTGTCATATCTCAATTCACACGGCGTCCACACCTCACAAGCTAGTGGAGCAGGTCAGCGGGTCTATGCATTTTCTGAAAAGTAAAGCCAGGGTACAGTGACTGGGCCTTGGGGATGAAGGAAAAACGAACCGAGAGGAATCAAGACGATAAAATGATGAGCCAGTTGACGGTAGCCGTGGAATTTAATTTGTTCAAGTGCTGTACTACTTGGCCAAGCCCCACATTCTCTGTAAGGATTGAACTGCTGCCTACTCCAGCATAGCATACCCATTCAATGTGCATTGGTTTTCTACTTGAGTGGTTTTAGTATTCCGTGTAGTTCCAATTTCTTTAGGTTATTGCCGCATGTTTGTTTTGGTGACAGCATGGAAGACCACACAGATTGAATGACATGGAAATACTTAAATGTGGAGCTCCTTTCGGTGGCCATGGTTTCGAGCAGTTTCCTTTGAAACCCATTAGCACATGGCACCCTCCTGGCACTTCTTCACTGCCCTGAGGAAAGGCTCAGCAGACATTTGATCCGTCGAAGAGCTGGCCAATCTCATGCTAAAAAGCCAACGGCGGGTTGACTTTTGTGAGTTATCATGGGCTCAGCCCTAATTACCTACACGACAGGTTCTTTGATTGTAACATACCTTCGGCCACCACTGCGGTGAGTCCAACCTTTGCTTTCTCCTGTACGCAGACATTCCACGCATATCGAATTTGAATGAATTTGAGACATGGGCCTCCCGAGGCTTTGACCTCCTTGCTTGGCATCGATGAGCTGGAAGAGGAACAGGGCGAAAGGATGTAAAGGAGGCTCCGGAGGTCCGGAGTGGCTTTATGCTTCTAGCTACTAGTAGCTTCTTGTTACTAGCAGTAATGGCCTCCAACCTAAGAGCAATGGCCTCCACCCTAGTAGCGATGGCCTCCAACCCAAGAGGCTCCCCAGGTCCGGAGTGGGTTTCGCGAAAGTGGGCTTTGGAGGTTTTAGAGCACATTCCCAACTACTTACCTTCGTTTCCAAGCAGGTCGCGGAGGAGGTTCCGAAACAGGTTCCAGAGGGCGGGTCAGTTCCAACGAAGATTCTCAGGCAGATTTTATTAGCCACGGCCATGCCACTGCTGTGGGGACAAAAACAAAACATTTGCAAAGTCCCGCCGGCGGAAACTGTCTCACTGTTTGTTTAAAAGCTGTGTTTTTCTGCTGAAAAAATTGTTTGGCAGGAAATGTTCTTTAATAAATTGTTCAACTTTGCAATGTAGCCAAAATGCAGGTTTGGAGCATGTTTTGCCTATTGAGAGACGTTTGGGAGAAGCGAGCTTCTTAGCCATGCAAGTACATAGCACCTGACATAATTCAGTTTCGGTTTCGAAGAAAGATGAGGACATTCAATAGCATCCTTCATCCTTTGGAAGCTGTCAATTCCTGTGCGGATTTGCACCTCAACCTCCAAATGCCGAAAAAGATAGTCAGATTCTGTGAGTACATTAATTGTTTCATATTGTTTATGTTTAATTCTTGTTTCTACTAGCTTCTTGTTACTACTAGTAAGGCACTTGTTACTAGTAGCGATGCACTTGTTCCTAGTATATGTTGGTTACAATTAGTAACATACAAAAATTACAAGCAATTGCAAAAAAACATTGTTCATTCAAAACTGCCTAAAACTGTGTCCAAAACACTTAGCAGTAGCATTCAAGATGACAAGCTACATTGCCTTTTCTCAGTCCTTGTTTGTATATGTGATGTCTCAAAGCTCCTTTGACATGTCACACGATGTCACATGTTTGCATCGGCCCCATGTCCGTGGACGCATCAACATCGCGTGCTACCATATTATATTGGTCACGTCCCCACCCGACCCATTGATCCGACCGAAGTATCATGCCCATGGACGCGAAATCGCAGGACGATAAAGGGGGCCGAACACATGCAAAAACTGAAATCCCGAGCTTGCTGTTGGGAATGTTTTTTGAGTCTATTTTGCTGATGTTCCTTTGAGATGAAGCTTGGCGGTACTTTTTTTCAATTGTTTCCATAGTTTGTGATAACTTCACAAATTGGTCTTGTCTTAGTTCTCTGGTAGTTTTGCGGTGTGATGATTTGGAGTGACTGTTTGGCAAGGTGGCTCGTGGATTTGTTGCTCTTTGTGGTTCGGGCTGGTGATTTTGAGTCGGGTCGTTGCTTGAGGTGTGCAGTCAAGTTTGTTTTGCTGGTGAGGCAAACATCATTTGTTGCTAAATCCGGTTCTTCGTTCATGTTTATCGGACTTTGAACATGTCAGTCAGGTCTCGCATTGAAGGAAAAGCGTGTTCTCAGAAGTTTGCCCCAGATTCTTGTGGCAAGGAGCATCGGGGAGCTTTGCTCGAACTCTTGCGTTCAGGAGCCAACGCTTAAAACATGTTCTTCCTTGGATACGGGAAGGAAAAAAAGATAATCCAAACAAGCAAAAAAGACAAGAAAACAAAGGACTAGAAAACAACAATCTTGATACACTTCCGCAGGGGCCGCAAGCTCTGTGCAGCTCAAGAGCTCCAAGGCACACCGGGGTTAGCGCCCTTGTATTCATACACATTCTGCCCTTTGCCTATTGTGCATTTAAGCTTTGAAAACTTATTGTTCTTGTTCCATCCAGTCGACGAACTGACAATGAGTACTGTAAGTAATGATATATACTATATAATGGTCCAGCATTTCTGTTCAAACATCAATGTCACTCAAGCAGATGCCTACTGTACACGATCTTGGCAAGCATATGCGAAAATCATCTATATATGCATGTTCAGATGTTTAAACAGGTTGAAACATTCACAGAGTCTTGGAATAGGAACATGCAATGTCTCCCAAAAAATAGTTTGCTTACCAAAACCAACCTCTAAGAATGCAAGGTCAACGAAGCTCAGGTGTAATTTTCATGTAAAGCTTCCAAGGACCAGATTCTACTTTCGACTTCGTGCCAGGCGCCGAAAGCAAAAAATAAGAAGCCAAGGGCTACGAAACCTTCCAAGGACGGCACAAAAAGTATCATAAACTACTTAAGACGAAGGGCAGAAACTGCTTGGTATCATGCTGTGCCTGCACCAGGTGCCCTCACGAGCCACGGCTGACGTGGACAGTGGGCCGGCCGGGCAGGCTGAGCAGGCACTTGAGCTTGAGGACAAGGATGACAGTGATGTGGAGCTAGGCATTCTCGAACCGCACCAGACTGAGCTCTCGACGGGAAACAGGATTGCTTCGAATATGGAAAGGAATGAGAACATATGCGAATATTCAATACAAGACAAAAGTAGGAAATTTGTCAGAGATGTTTCTTTTCACTTTAAAGCTTGGCTTTGCATGCATGAAGTGCATGGATGCTTACACGAATGGGGATGGCGATCCCTTTTGTGTCCAAGGTTACCAGGCTGTGTGCCTTTGGATTTGGATGAATCAGATGAATGATTTCCCAAAATCCAATCAATCGAATTCAATAAATTGGGATTTGATATAAAGGGGTTTTAGATGGTTTTAGATAGCACGCGACCTTTTGGATGCTGTCCAAACCATCCGCGAAAGATCCTCGATGAGGTTCGCGGAAGTATTAGTGTTTTCTTCTGCAAAAGATTTATCGAATGTTCATGTTCATATGTTGTTTTCTCCCGACATATGAGTCAACCTAGACCTAGACATTATCAAAGACAACTTTTGTAGAGAGCGCTTCATATTGGAAGGTTCCATGAAAATTGATATGGGGCTCATTAAAACGATGCTCTTTCCTGATCATCGCAACCACATGGTTCTTTAGACATGGCAACCTGACAGTGTGTTATGATTCTATGATTGCAAATCATCAGCCGCATGTGCCTGTGTGTCGAGTTTCTATGCTATACAGGGTGCGCTGGATCAAGCCGGTCATAATAAAGACATATAAAGACGCTCATCAGCGTTTGCCACTACTTAGTTGAGGTGCTAACAAAGTGTTTTTTTTGTGCTGTTTAGAATATTGACTGGAGTTTGTGAGTTGTTTTGCAGAGAACGGACGCTTTTGTCATGTCCTAGCGCTTGCTCAACAGGAAATTGCCGAGGGCACGTGCTTTGGTAGAACACATACGATGTTTGTGACAAGTGAATGGCAGGTCGCGCCTTTAACAAGATTTTATACGATGCGCAATCTATCGATTTATCGTGATAGGATTGAATTGTTTTTCATGTATTCGGCGTAGCACACCTCGAAAGCTAGCCGGTAGGTTGGGTTTGAGGTTGTTGGAGCGGACGAAATGAATAAAGGGAGATGGAGGGGGGGGTTGTGGGGGGTTATTTTCGGAGAGGATAATTTAGAGTTTGGTGGGGGAGAGCGACAAAAAGAGGGGCAATTAGGTAGTGAAAAATGGATGATTTGAGGGATGATGTAATTGATGACGAAAAATGTATTATTATCGGGAATATGAAATATTTAGGAGGATATGGAAATGAAAAACGACAAGGGTTTTAATGTGGTTTCTTGAATTGAATTTTGAATATAGATTGTTTTTTCTGTTGATCGTATATTTTATGTGTTTTTTCGATATAGTCTAGTTAAGTTTTTGTTTTATATTATTTTTGGTTTTGAATCGGTGTTATATATATAGTAAGTTGATGCGAATATATTATGTTATTATGTGGGTGGAGATTTATTAATTGGAATTTTGATTGTAATTGATAATATTTATTTTTAGTGTTGGTTGTATTAGATTCTATATTTTCGGCGTTATTGAAATTATTTGGTTAAAGAAATATATTGTTCGAATATATTATATATGGAAATTGAATTTATTTATATATAATGAATTTATTAAACGTTATTGTTAGCTTAGACTCGTGTAGTTATTTCTTTTAGGTAATATGGGCTTTTTATTAATAAATCCTCCCGTTCCCTTTTTGATTAAGTTTGGGCCCTAAATAATACGATTTCTAGAAAAAATCCTAGAAAATCTTGATTTGAATAGGAAAGGATAATGAAAGGAAAGGAAAGGATAATGAAAGGAAAGTTTAGAATTAGCTTGGATGAATTAAAATTTGGAAGTAGCTGAAAATTAAGATTTAGAATATATTTAATATTATTTGAGGGCCATTTACAATTAATTTTTGAAAAGATTTAGTATTATTTACGGGCCATTTATTATTAGGAAGTTAATATTATTCGATTATGACGAATTGGAATCGCGATTTGCGAAATATAATGAGGATTTTTACATATTGGATATTTTTTTTATTTTAGATTTTATAAACTGCATTATCGTAAATTGATAAAGGAAAATATGCTTTGGTAGCATTTCTTAAAGGCATTTATATTAAATATGTTTGGCGTGAGGTTATTATAATTTTTTCGTTTTGTAGTACCAAAGTTATAATCTCTAAACAGAATTAAATAGGCACGAAATTTAAGGAGGTATGGGCGTATGATGGCTCCGGTTATATTTTAGATTCATTAAGCTGTAAACGCATTAAAAGAAGTTTTCGTAGAGTTTGCAAGCGATTATTATTCTATGGTTGTATATAATATAAAGGCAAAGAGCTCTGGCCCTCGATGGTCTTTTTCCGGTCCGGTTGAAGCAATTGATTATGCTTGAATTTCGAGATCGACTTGCAATTAGGACCTCTGTTGGGCCCTCCATGCACTCGACACCTGAGGTTATATACAGATCTTTTGTTGGAATGCATTTTAGAGCTTGTAGCTGAATGAATGGCTCTCTTGGTACTCTTCCCAATCATATACGCTGATTCTGGTATAAGAGATTGGCTGGAACCTCAATAGACGATGGATTACGCCTGGTTGGTACATGATCCATAATGTAGTAGGTCGAGCCTCCACTCTGTGTATGGTTCGAACTACGCTCCTTCGACCAGATCAATTTATGTTTGCAGAAGTGATTCTAGGCCGCCTGCAACATATTAGATTGTACCTAACTAGAGTGCATAATATCTTCAACATATATTAAATTGCTTGGAATACCACTAAGCCTCGTAATGTTCTACTTCATAAACGAACCTTGGTATGGAAGGCACTCTAAGATGCCATTCAACATGTTTTTAAGACCCATATGCTCTTAATTGCAGGGGATTGCAACACCCCGTTGAATGCAGCACCACCCGCCGTCGAATCTAGAGATGCCAAATACAGCCTGGCTGCTCAGACAGATAAACATGATTTTCAAAGACTAGTCCATGAATTTGATCTTTGTGCATCCCACTGTCGAGGCAAATGGAATCCCACCTTCCAACACGGCACTCATTCATCTAAGATAGACTTCATGTTCATCAGGGCACATCAACATCAAGGCAGGAAACATCATGCCAAGATTCTCACCAGATTCGAACGGTCTATGCCTCATGAAGGGCCACAATATCACCCGTTAATCCTTTCCCTGCCCAGATGGTTTGCACCTCCTCGAGGAACTTCCAAACAGGCTCACATCGACCGCCAACGATTGAGGCAGGGTTTCAAGCTGCAGAACGAGAATTGGCAATTATTTGAATTATTCCATTAGGTGACCGCTCCGACTGAATCCAATGCACTGGACACTTGTATGACAATAGAACAGCAGATTCGTGACCTTTGTGTTCTTCACTTTGCCACTCAACCTGTTACCCGCTCGATCTGCCCACAGGTACGATCCTTGAGCGCTCAAATGTGGTATGCTCGCCGCCAGCTCTTGAGATCTCAGCCTTGCACCCTGACGGCCGTGTTTACGAGATGGAACCATGTCACCAAATTTGAGAAGCTTCATAAACAGATTCGTAAACAAAGCCGCCTGAATCGTAAGAATAGGTTAACAACATTCCTTGAGGAAAGTGTGCCATTTGTCCTTCGCAATCAGATGCACGAATGGTACACACGTGTCAGAACACTGTATCCCAAGCAACAGAATCGTCGCATCTAGATGTTTGTTCCCACTGGTGCACCCATGTCACAGGACCAGGAACTTGATAAGCTGGTTGAATACTTTCAGACATTGTTCACAGATGCTCACACCCCCCTTCCTCATCCAGCACCTCTGCAGACTCTACCGTTCACTGAGGAAGATGTGCAGCTTGAACTTGAAAGACTCCCAATCACCAAAGCACTGGCCCCAGACGGATTTCCTGCCCTGATTTGGAAGCAGTTTGCACCACAGCTCACCCCCATCATCTATGCATGCATTCGTCAAGCTTGGACCTCTGACCCATGCATCCCACCCACCAGATGGTCGACAGGGTGGTTGCATCTCCTGCCCAAGGGCATCTTTAGATGCCCCCTTCTTCTGGACCATTAGCATGTATCTCATACTTCATGATCTTTTAGCCCAATATGATCATGCCTGGATCACCAACCACATCCTAAAATATGCAGATGATATCCACCTGAGATGCATCATCACCTCACCGAGTGAGGGCCTCGCTGCATTGCACGATTTGTCTTTCCTGCTTAGGGTGTTTCGAGCCTATGGACTCCGAATCAATCAACAGAAGAGCGTGGCTCTCACTCGAATGGTTGGCCGAGCACTGAACCCGTTTCTTCGCCGTTGGACCAGCAGACCTACATCAGGTCCTGTACTGCGCCTGCCAGATACAAGCCTGACGATCCCTCTCATGAACAAAACCTCATACCTCGGCACCATTGTGAGTTATAGAGCATGGGAAGCAGACACAGTTCGTCGCAGGATCACAGCAGCCCAGACGTGCTTTCGAATTCTCCGCAGGTGGCTTCTTGATAAGCATCATGATATCAAGATTCGAATTCGTTTGTACAATCAATGTGTTCTTCCCATTGTGCTCTATGGGATCTTCGAGATGGGAGTCACCTATACAGGCAGTCAAACCATCATTGGAATGATAAATAATCACCATCGCATGATTGCACATGCCCCTGTCCATCTCACTCGAATTCCCACCACTGAGTTCTTCACCTCACTTGGACTTAGGCCTCCATGGATCACCCTGCAACAACACTTTCCCAGACTCATGACAGCCTTGAACCACCGACGGGATTTTCTCCGCAGATCGGCCATGGATGATTCAGTGGAAGATGTTTGTGCCACGATCCCAGAATATCCTGAAGCCCAAATCATCCCACCACAATTTGACTCCATGCACACGCCACAGGAACCTGTCCTACGATGCCCTGAATGCGCTCGGGCCTTCACCCAGGCCAGATCATATAAACGCAATCTTAGGGAATATCACCAGATTCCATGTCACCCAGATGACCTCTTCCTTCCTTTGAGAGATGCATTGGATGGCCACTCCACATGCAGACATTGTTTGAAACCGTTCACAGATTTTTACAGATTATCAATAAGAGAGTTTGTATGTCTTTTGATCCGACCAAGGACACCATTGTGCCGATCTGTGACCGCCCAGATCTCCGCATGCATCTCAGATACAAGAGTATCCCGGGCTTGCTCCTCAATAAAGCCCTCATGAGTGAACTAGCCAATCACTGT